CTACTACTGCTACTCCTGCTGCTGCAGCTGCTGCCGCTGCTGCTGCTGCTGGTCCTGCTGCCTGCTATTGCTACTGCTACTGCGACTGCTTCTGCTACTGCTATTGCTTCTACTATTACTGCTGCTGCTGTTACTCTACCGTTGCTGCTGCTGCTGGTGCTACAAGTGCTGGTCGAAAGTGCTTGACGAAAGTGGTTGTCCATTTAAAGCTGATTGCAAGAAGTCAGTGGTTGGATGACGGTCGAGTCACGATTCACGAATGGTATACCACTAGCTTGCTGTGTGCGTAGGGTTGCTGCCACTGGGCGTAACGAACAGATGCGGACCTCGAAAAAAGAAATCCAAGAGCCCATAGGCTGTGCCACGAAGAACTGCCGGTTGCGGGTCAGAGGCCTAAAGCTAATAGCTGAGCCAGTGGTATCTTTCACGCATGCAATCATCAACACTCCAATCACGGTTCTTGCATCTTGTGAATGTTCAGGTTTTGCTGGTGCAAGTAGGGGTTTGGAGCGAAGGTTTGAGGTTGGGGTTTAGGATTTCGTGCTGTTGCAAAGCCACGAGCAACCGAGCAACACAGACCCGCTCCCTTGAGTATCATGACGATGATACTACAAGCTGGTATCTATAGTACACTACAATCTACGATAATATCTAGTCGTTTAGACAGAAATGGCCTGTGTTTCCAGGCGTGGTTGGACCTCCGCTACCTCCAGGTGCGAGATCAGACATGGAACAGGGAACTGGATAATTCACTGCGTTGTAGTGTAGTTCTGGTGTGTTTTGGTATGCTAAACCATAACCGTAGTTTGATGTTGTAGAATTTACTAGATCTTAGCCGATTAAAATCGATTCTAGTTCTAGTTGACCCTAGTAGATGATGGTAGACTGTCGTGCATTGTAGTATGTTATAGTATGTCATAGCACTAGCGGTTATATTCCTATCACGTTGAGATGTAATTGGTTCTGGCATCTTCCACCGGGCATGGAAGTGAGCGCTCCAATGCTGTGCTTGCCAGAGGAACCGTCTCACCAGCGGCCCTTCATCTTGCAGCCGCTGAAAGCCCTGTGTTTACTAATGGTACGTCTAGTATGCATGCTCGATGATGCAAAGCCGAAGCTGGTGCAGGTTTGGGCTGGCGACATGCCGCTGGGCTATTTGAACCAGGTCTGGCTGTAGCCGTATCTCTCTATTTGCAGGGCTCCACGAGTCTATGGGCAGTTTGCGCATCCAGGTCTTCGGCGATGAGGTACTGGGACGTGCTCGGGTGATGCGCACTCTTCAGGTGGGCACTTGCATGCAAGCGCACAGAAGCAGAGACATCCTCCTTACTTCGATGCTGTCATTGACCTGACAAGGACGGTGTCGACGATCGAGGAGTACGTGAGGCCGGTCGATGCAGTGCAACGCCTTTGAGCGGTGCACTCGTGTCAGTGACAGGTACAGATCCGAAACGCCTGGAATCTTGGGCCATAGCCGGATTGCATATCTTTTGCTGGACATTGGGTTTGCGAGCTGAGCTAAGGAGCAACCTGGTGTTCAAGGACCCTCTCTGCTCGGAAGGGAACGAACTCGTGGACCTGGGCTGGGCGTTGCACGGAATCGGCTACCGGCCCGGCTCTTGGAGTTCCGAGCTACGACTCTGCAAGACACTTACACTGACTTACACGTTACTTCGTGTCATAATCACAGTGTCTGCCAAGGGGGGCTCGCATCTCCCTGAGCCCGTACCCAGGAGCTTGGGTCTGCGAAGACAAAAAGCCTCGTACACGAATGCATCATGCTGTCTGCCAGTCCGACATGCTGTAACACGAGTCGGCAAACATGCGCCGCCGCTGTCAGCTTTCAGCCATCCCAGAGTGACCCGGGAAGTGGTCTTTCGGGCCCAGCCAGCCCTGCCGGTTGTGCAATATGACGGCGACGCGCCGGTCTCGAGGCCCTGAGAGCCCGCATGTTTGACGTGCTTGCGTAGGCCACGCATAGTTACATCGCCTGCTTCAGGACCTCTGGTCTGCCTGGTGTGCCTGCTTGCTTGGGGGCCTCTCTTCGTCACTCCATTCACTCCAGGATCGCTTCGATCGCATGTTCTGAGCCTACAATGCCTACAACCTTTGCCAAGCTCTGGTGATCTCTAGTGATCAGGACTGAGACCCTCGCGCCAGGAGTCGCGGCCGTCCTGGCTTGAGTTGCAACCTTGCGCATCGTGGCGTCCCCAAGTCTGGCAAGCTTGACTTCCTTGTCATGGTGCCAGGATGGCCCTCAGTGCAGAACCTGCCGCTCCCAAGAAGCCTGGAGGGGCCTACATGTTGTGGTGCCTTTGCGTGAATGGGACTGTAGGCTGGGTGCTGTCATTCCGATCTTTCAAGAGCGTGCTTTTGCAATTTCTCGTCGTTTGAACACTTTTCAGGATGCTGTAAGATGCGCTTCAGCGTGGGCATGGGTTCATTTTTCAGATTTGTGCTCTGATGACCTGTTGGTTCGGAATGAAACATTTTCAGGCCGTAAAACGTGCTTTCGCTTGCAGCGTGGTTCGCAGAGCACATCGCCTGCAGGTTGAAAGAGAACCGGGCGCGCATCGCTGAATCTCTTGGCGAGGACGGCAAGAAGGCCCAGAGAGCCTATATATGTATATGTATATATATATATCTCTGTATATATGTAGAGCCCTGTACAGGAATGCAGGCGGGCAACCAGAGTAGAGCCCAGGTGACGCTGGTCTCCAAGGCTGCTGGTGCAGAGTGGAAGACGCTCTCCGACAAGGCCGCTACTGGATTTTTGTGGCGACAGCGGCAGCCAGCCGTATGCATGGGCTGAGGTGAAGAAGCCATTTGTGGACATGGCTGCCAAGCTTAAGGCAATTGCGTGATTCCTGTATTAAGAGGTGCCAAGGAGTCGCATTCCCTGCAGCTGACTTCACACAGGCGGACTTCCTGGCTGAGAAGGAAGCCTTCGAAAAGCAAGGGGGTGTCATGCCAGCGAGGATGATGGGGTGTGTGAACGGCTGCAGCATTGCTGGCTCCTCTGACCTCATGCTTTCTTAGTCGCCGTTGCTTCTAGTGTGGTCGCCCCGGGAGGAAAAGCAAAAATGCTGCAAAGGCTGCAAAGGCCAAGAAGACGAAGGAGCATGACGAGTCAAGCGCATGTTTTTGTGATCAGAGCTTAGGCCCACTGAAAGTAGGTCAGTTCTACAGCAGGACCCCAGTCTACCCAAGCGTCCCAAGAACGCCTACATGCGGCTTGTCTGAAACTTGAAAAGCTTTGCAGGTCTCGATGCTTGGTCCGTGAATCAGCTGATACATTTCAATCTGTTGGCTGGCTGGTGGCTCAGGTTGTGGCTGCAAGACCACAGGAAGGAAATCACAGATGCACTGGGGCCTGGGCACCAGCCAAAGCAGGCGGGACTGTTTGAGGTCGAAGGCTGTGAGTTTGGAGACTGGCTTTTCTTTGGCTCCTGCAGCATAGAGCCAGGTGATGGTTGAAGCTGGGAAGAGGTGGAAAACGTGTTCGGATGCCGAGAAAGGCCCTTATGTGGCACAGGCATCTGAACTGAAGCAGGCCTACAACAAGCAGAGGCAAGGACATGTCAAACTTTAAACGGCCCAGTGCGTGCCTACTTGTCCTTTGGGTAGCCGTCGCCTGAACGAAAGGGGGGGGTGTTGGGGCGCTCCCACCAATTAACGAGGTGTGCCAACTGCCAGTTCCAAATGGCTCGACAGGAGCTGTTGGTAGCGACACGCCATGCATCTTTCACAGGTAGACGTGCGCTGCAAGACACGAAAGAGCGCCCTTGCAACTTTAAAGCCCTTCTGGTGCTGTTGCCGGCATGTCAATGTCAGGCTTTGGCAGAAGCATAATTTCTGCATGCGAAGGCGTCTCGGCTCTAGTTACACGGTTCCTTGTGGAGATTTGCTGGGCGGCCTGGTCCTGATCCTGAAGTTTTTGATCGAACTGTGCTCTCTGGTCTTCACTTATGCT